GGCGTCCTCCCGACCCCGTCTGCTACACTCTGCTGCGCTGGCGAGGGGAGGGGAGAGGTGCCCACGGTTCCCACGGGCGCCCGTCCACTTCCTGTCATTTGCGAGCCTGAGGCTGCGGGCGTGGGGCCAGGCTAGGCCGGCGAGGGCCGAGCCAGCCGTCTGGCGCCTGCCAGCAGACGGACAGGGCCACCGTCACACGGACAAGAGTCCAGCGGCTGACGGTCCGGCGTCCACCGTTGAAGAGGCTGATGCCTGTTGCCGGACGGCTGGAGTGCGCAGTCAGAGGAACAGCTGCCCACCATTCCACGGACAGAGATCCACCAACAGGCAGACAGGTGTCCACCGTTGGCAGAACTCCAACTCAGGTCAGCAGGTGTCCACCGTCACACGGACACGAGTCCACCAACCGGCAGACAGGAGTCCATCGTCGGACGGACAGAACTGCACTGTCAGACAGACATAACTCCACTGTCAGGCGGACAGAAGAAGTCTATCATCAGACGGATAGGAGTCCATCGTCAGGCGGACGGGGATCCGCTTTTTTGACGGATGATTGAACCGTCAGATGGCCAATGACCCACTGCCAGACGGACACATTAGCATTCGACAGTCAGGCGTAAGCCATCAGAGGGATCGAGGCCCACTGGCACATAGTAACATAGAGGGGGGCCGCCGTCAGACGGACTGGGGTGTACCGTCAGACAGGAGCCTAGCGTCCGAAGGCCAGTTCACCGACGGGTGGAAAGGAGCTGGCAGACAGAAGCCCCCTGTCCGAAGGGCAGTTCACCGTCGAACGGATAGGGACCACTACCGTGCGGAAGGAGGACTGAATGGAATTGTTGCACCGCAATTGCGAACACAAATGCGCCATACACATGCAAAACTCCGTCGCCATATTGCGCAGTTCGTCGTAACAGGTGCTTTACGACGCACTCGGCTGCTGAGGCTAGGTGGCGTCATCTGCCTCACACCCTGGCTGAGGATCGCGGGTAATTGAACTCCGTGCCTCTGGTCTCCCCGTCACGCAGCTTAACCACTACACCACCCCCTGCACCATATTGCACAGCTCGCACTGTGCTGCCTGAGGCTTGGCGTGCGTTTAGCGCGTGATGAGCCGATTCGCGGTGTTTCTCTTATTCGGTAGTACGAATGTTTAACGGTAGCAACAACTAGAAACCATTCGCCGGCAGTCCAGTTTTCATCCGTCGGAGTCCGTGCTGGCTCGGTTCAGCCCGACGCCCGGACTCCAGAGACCCGAACGTGGCAAACGGAGCCGTGTGATGGAATGCAGCACCATTGTGTGACGATGCCCACCACCAGATACCGGCCTGGTAACGCGATTCACTGGCAAGCCGTCTTGCGCGCCGACAGATCCGTTCCAGTAGCAGCGCCGTGCCCGTGCACAGCGCGCCGCCTGGGTACGGCGTCTGCTCGGCCATCTACGATGCTACCAGGTCTCGGCCATCTACTCGGTCATCTGCTCGGTCATCTGCTCGGTCACTGGGTTTCGGTCATCTGCTCGGTCACTAGGTCTCGGTCATCTGCTCGGCCATCTGATCTGTCACTAGGTCTCGGTCATCTCGGTCTCGGTCACTCCGTCCCGGTCAGCTGGGTTTTGGTCATCTGCTCGGTCCCCAGGCCCCGGTCATCTCCTCGGTCACTCAGTCTCGACGCCACGTGTGGGATCCGGGCAGCTGTTGGCGTGTTTCGCAGGCTGGCCGCTGGCCGTGAGGGACCAGGTATGCGGCGGGAGCTGGACGGGCACGCTGGGCCCCATTCAGCAGCCGCCACCGCACCCCAGGCGCCTCTGTTGGCCAGGCGGCGCTGCCTCTCACAACGCCCTTCATAAACGCCATTCAGCACACCTGTATGGAAGGGTCCCGAGTGCCGAACGACGCGGTGTCGCGGCGCGCTCAGAGCCGTTTACCTCTGTGAGAGCCGAGAGCGCTGACAAAGGCCGAACACGAGCGTCGCTCGGCGGCCGGGTCGGCAGGGACCGCGGCCCTGTCACCCGCCGCATTCTGCCGACAATGGCAGCAGCCACTTCTGGCTGGAGAGCCTTCTGGTCTCAACCAGCGGCCGTGGGTACCACTCGTCGTGTGTTTCCAAAATATATCTCCAAAATCGCGGGATGTTTATATGCGAACGCTGTTTACAAGAACCTGTGCACAGATCTGATTGATTTGTCGCCGCCAGTAACACAAAGCGCATACATGATTGACGCTACACATGTTGGATGCGCCCAATAAGCTTCCCAGTTCTAGTCACTCCCCGTACTACTCCAGCGAACGCCCCACGCCTCCCAACCGGATCGCGCCCGCACCACCCGCCAAGGTCACGGCAGGGAGGGGTGACACCCGACACCGGCGCTGGGGGGCGGCGACGCAGACTCGGCCGCGACACTCACAAAAACAGCCCCCTAATTGGGACGTATTAGACCGGGTGGTCATGTCAACGGGAGGCGACCGACCGGGCCAGGCCACGACAGGGGACGGGAGCGGCCCAGCCAGCGCTCGACAGAGAGAGCGTGGGAGTCCACCCACCCCCGGCACACCCAGCGCGAGGAGACTGCGCTGATCGCCCGCGCGGGAGTTGGAATCACTGGTGCACACGGCGTAGATTGAACCGCCGATTATGAAAGACTGCGGTTTGTTTTTTTGTGGAAGACTGAGATTCAGGTGTATCCCCTGAAAAGGAGATACACCTGAATTAACAATCATCCCCTTCAGGGGATATACCGACTGTTCTCAGAGACGGAAGTGTCAGATGCCGACTCACCTCACGCGAATTCTAAAACACAACTGGCGGACAACGCCTTTCTAAGGCAAGACAATCGAGCAGCATCTACATTCTGTGAAAAGGCAACACATTGGACCATGAGTTTGCTTGGGTGTGTGCATCCAAGCTCTGCCCGGCTCTTGTCGCTGCCCAGTTCAACAAGACACGTCAGCACCCCCAGTGTGTGCCTCCACGCTTTACCCGGCTCTTGTCGCCGCCCAGTTCAACAGGACACGTCAGCACCCCCAGTGCCGCGGGCTGGGTCACGGTTTCCGGCAGAGCTCCGGTGAGCGGACGCAGAGGCCGATCAGGCGCCGCAGGAGGCGGCGGCGACAGGAGGTCCCAGGCGCCGTTCGGGGCCGCCGCTGCCGACCGCGGCCCGCACGCGCTGACCCGGTGGGAGCCGTGGCGCCCCGGCCTCCTTACGCTGCAACCTCTGGGGTCGGCGGCCTCCTTTTGGCCAGCCGACAGAGCTCGCAAACGCCTCCTTCGCCGTAAGTAAAGCAACAGGCATTGCACTGAGTGTGTAGGCGGTCCTGCTTCTCCAAAACAGACTTGAGCTTAGATCGGTGGAATCGAATCTTACTTCGGAATCCATTTAGTTTTGACTTGAATCCGTTGGCTCCATTGGCTGCTTGGCTGAATCCCATTCGGAATCGATTCCCGTGGTTTGCCACGTAATCGTAACTGATTCGATTCCACCTTGAATATGCCCAATTCAAAAGTAATTTGACCACAAACTCTAAGGTGTAAATTACATCGCTGACTTTCCAGTGCACAAATTGAGTTTCCCAACTAGTATGTGTTTACGAGACATGTGAGATGGAAATCTGTGATCTATCCGCTCAAGTGTGGGGATATGGAAGGCTGGATGCGCCCGGAGTGGTCAAAAGCTCAAATTAAGTACTTTGGGAGGCAGAAAAGTTTGTTGCGTTACTATGGACTTGCCGGTTTCTTCGCCATTCAAGTGTTCAATCTCCAATACATAGCCATTCATGCACTCATGCATTTTCAAATTGGTATGCAAAACAGATCGCCTTTCTGCTGCTGCATACGGATGCCCGATAATAGCACCGTGTTGTACATATATGATGAGCCTTTGCACCGGTGGAACTATTTGCAGCCTGCTCCTTCCTGACAAAATACATTTAAATCGGATTCGGAATAAGAATAAGCAATATTCGCCATACACGAGTTCAATTCGACCTCAAAACAGGTTCATAGCGGTCACGACTATCTTCGAGATCGACTCTCCTCGAGCGGAATCAAGCAAACACATCTCCAAAGTCGTTATCATCCATGACAAAACTTATTAATTTCATTTTTGCACTTGTTTTTTTTTGTAGCCGCATCACACCACAAATCCACCGGTGTCTGTGTTGTTCCTCAGCACTGGCATTGCTGGCGCTCGCATTGCTTACAACCTGGCATACCTTTCCCTCAGCAGGCTCACATGAAATTTGTAATGAAGTCTTAGCATACGCCCGATGCAGAAACAAAAGATAGCTGTTTCCGTATAGCGTTGCTCGCTATCTATGCTCTGGCTCTGTTTGAAGTCAGCGTAAACTCCAGAATCATTCACTGTCTCGTATGGCTAAAGTGGAATCTATTCCTCTAAGAACGCATGTCCGTTCCGGGTTGATCAAGTCGCATTGACTGAAACCAGATGGGTCGACCTCAAGATAGAAAGAAATAACAACAAACATGTTCATTCTGAAGGCTGTTGCATGCGTGGAAAATGGTGTTCTGAATGCCTCGTCAAATTATCAAAGTTGGCAACCTATGCGGGCTTTTTAAAGTTCGTGTGGATCATTTCAGTTGTATACCGGTTGCCGGCCATCGGAACTGATTTCAAAGCCAAAACTGCTTATTCTTGCCTTGGTATCGGAGTCAACTGACTCACGACTAGGCCATGCTGCTCGCAGTCAGAGCAAAAACCAACCCAATGCGCTGTGAGTGGGAGTCGGAAACGACGCCAAAGCAGTATCAAACACAGGCCGCTCGCCGACAGCGCTGCAGTCAGCACGGGAGCGACGCCTGCACTCGTTCGCCGTCGTGGATTGGTTGCTGCTCGTAGCAGCACTGGATTTTGGTAAGTTGACAACCGCGGGAACGCGTAAAATACGCCGAGGAGAAGGTCCCAACGGTCCATTCCGTACCGCTTGAATTCTGGGTGTGCGGCCCTCAACAGGTCGCCTGCAACGCTCTGGCAGGGTACTCACCGTTCTCCTCCAGCGACAAGCAGGGGAGCGCCCACGCCGCGAGCAGCACGACCCAATACAGTTGGAAGAGCATCGTTGCAGGTCACAGGCGCTTGGACAGCATTACAAGTTCAGACGCAGCGCGCCAAAATGTATGCGCTCCCGGCGCCGCCGCTCGGGCCACGCCACCGGCGACAGTGACGCGCTCGTCCACTGCCCGACACCGGATGTCCTCCGCTACCGCCTGCGGACGCCGCGAGCCTGCCGCCCGCCCGAGCTCCACTGACAGTCAACACCTTCAGCACCACAGCAAATCTGCTTCCTAAGACGGTGCCGTCTTGTCCGGCCGGTCGGTGTGTCCCGCGCAGTCGCCGAAGACCCCGTCCGCCCGCGGCTCGCAGCACACCCACCGGCGCGTCAGGCGTTCGTCGTCCGCTCGCCCCTCGCGCCCGCGGCCCGGCTCCCGGTACTGCTCCCGCAGACGATTTGGCGACGGCGGCCGCCGCAGACTTTCTCACGGTCCACGACCGCGGCGTGACCCGCCCACCCTATTAGGCGGACACTGCCATCTAGCGGCCGAGCGGACAAACTGTAGTCACGCTGACGACTCCCTTGCGGAGGTCAGACCTTCGCGGGGTTCGATATTGAGAAGATTGAACTTGACCCGACGGTTTGGTCTTCGCCGAGCTAAGAATTCCACTTTTCCCGCATCGCCCGGCCAGAGGCTCCTGCAGTCAGTAAACTCGACGGCAGCTGATGTGATCAGCACTCGTATGTGCAGACCCAAGAGGACAGAAAGCGTGTGTCCAGCAATGTAGGCATGTTGCGCGAATCAACTTCCGGGATTTATGTTCAGCCTGGTGCGCTTAGTCCGATAGGATGCACTGTTAGCCGTTGTTTTCATAAACAAATGCCCAGATCAAAATGTACGTGAGTCGCTGAGCCAACCTCGCTTGATTCGCTGCAAACAGATCAGGACCACGTCTAGAAAGGGGCGAAAGTCAAGTGAGAAACCATGGAAGAACGGAAGCGTATATCGTATTTCAGTCACAAAGTTGAATGTTCAATTTACTTTCGTTTTGATGTTATGACAGGTCAAAACGGTGACGACTCAGATAAATTTGCATTTGTGTTGTACGTGATAGATGGCAAGGCACACTGTATTGGTTTTCAAAGAAATATAAATGTTCTTCGTGACCCATGTTTTCATGACTCGGTTCATCCATACTGTCACATTTTTGGGGGCCTAAAAAATGAAAAGTTGTCAGCCAAAGCTAAAATGTCGGCTACAGATCATCACAGCCATTTACACCCGATATCGGCTCACACCAGTCACACGAACCCTGTTTCACCCGCCTCGCGTTCTCGGACCACATGCTGTAGCGGACGCCTGTCCAAGAACTGTGGGTCGTGTTTACGGTCAGGCCACACATATCCCACCGGCAAAAATACTCATGTTGACACAAACAAAAACGCGCTTGGCGGAAACAAGCCCGCCAGCTGCTGCTTGTTACGGCTCGAGGCGGACCGTACGATCACAATGGTGTCCGCTGGGTCCTGAGGACGCTCGACAGCTCGCTGCCCTTGATGGCGGGAGGGGAATGTGACGTGTTCATTGCTAACCACGTGCGCAAATGTGTATAAACGGACTCCTAGAAATTCGCGAAGTGGGATAGAGGACCAGGCACGTAGGTGAGTCGCAGCCCGATCTCTCGCGTTCCATTTGCGACAGGGTCAGATTGCACCCAAAATTGCCGTGAAAAGCGACGTCCGGTGAGGCTACCCTGCACCTGTCCCACTAGTTATCGGGTGGATCCAACTCCACTGCAGTCTCAAAGGGGCGAATGCTCGCTTCCTCTGGGGAGCAGTATCAACACAGGTCGACTAAAATGCGCGTACGGGTCATACCGGTGCGCTGCGCCACAGGTACTGTACCGTCTAGGCATACTGAGCACTTAACGGTCATGTTGCAAAAATGTATCGAAAGGAGGACATCTCTCCGCCATCCGTCAGGCAAGAATGCCAGAGGTGACATTCTCCGTGGCACTGGAATAATGCTACAGCTACTGAGTGGCAGATTCAGGGCAGGAGCTTTAGCCGACGCCCTTCTTAGCTTGTGCTTCCATTCCAGCGCCAACAGCACTACATATTTTTAATAAGTCAGCACACTGACAAACAATCCGTACCCCGAAACAGTTCTGCGGAGCCTAGCTGTTCAAATATAGGCGGCCCAAGCGGACGGTCCCTTGGAACAAACTCCATTCTTTCAACCGACGGCGCGTTCATCACTTATCAGTCACATCACACAAACAAGAAAAGGAGATATATCAAATATGTGCAATGTATTATACACAATGAATGCCAACTTGAGTGTAGCTGGCATTGCAGGAACACGTACGAAACTAGCCAACTGCTAAACTAAAGCGTACGTCGAGGTCTCGATCCTGAGCCACTAATGGAACCAGTTGTGAGAATGCACAGTCACTAACTAAATTCAAGGGCACCGCAGTGCGAATAAATCTATAATTCATTCGATAAATTCACACCCACTTACTCGCGATGGTCATTCAAACGGTGCCTGCAGCTTCTGTCGTCTGGAAATTAGCCGCGCAGAGAACAAGCTACGAGACGCACAACCGAACGCAGTCCCCGCTGGCGCCCGGCCGCACCGCCACCATTCCGAGCAGCCGGGGCAGCGCTAGCAGCCGCCCAGCTGCCGAGGCAGTCCCTGGAGACGACCGCTGCCGAGGCCAGCCCTGGAGACGGCCGCTCCCGGGGCCAGCTCGTGGAGGCGGCCACTCCCCGCCGGCTCATCCGACACCAGCCGCCCAGCCGCCGAGACCAGCCCCTGGAGACGGCCGCTCCCCACCGGCTCATCGGCCCTTCTGATAGCCCGGGAAGAGCGCCTTCAGCGCGTCGAACAGCGTCACGTTGGAGACGAGCGCGAACTTCTTGCCCAGGTCGTGGCGGCAGGCGGGACACGAGAACACCTCCGCCTTGAAGGAGCGCTTCACGCACGGCTGGGGAGCACACGCGGCGCGTCAGGGGCCGACGCGGCCGACGGCACACGGAGCGGTCTAAACGGCTAAACACTGCGCTGGTCTGCCTCACGCCGGTAACACAATAGTGGGCACCACGTGACCACCTCTGTGAGTGAGCTGTTGGTCACCTCTGCACCAGAAACGTGATAAATAAACACACCCGTAACTAAAATGACATGTGCATACGAGAGCATATGCATGACTATGTAACTAAAGCCTATACAAGGCAAGGGCTGGCCCAGTAGACAGCTCTTACAGAGATGGGCAGGTACTGCAAACAGCTCACACAGAGACGGCAGCTAATGCAGACAGCTCACACAGAGACGGGCAGGCCCAGTAGAAACGGCTTACACGGAGACAGACGGGTGTGGCAGAGACAACTCCCACAGAGACGGGCAGTTACGGCAGACAGCTCACACAGAGACAGACGAGTACGGCAGGGACAGCTCACACAGAGACGGGCAGTTACGGCAGACAACTCACACGGAGACGGGCAGTTACGGCAGACCGTTCACACAAGAACGAGCAGTTACGACAGACAGCTCACACGGAGACGGGCAGCTAAGGCAGACAGCTCACACAGAGACGGGCAGGCCCAGCAGACAGCTCACACAGAAACGGACAGCCCAGACGGAGATGGGCAGCCTCGACGGCCAGCTCGGAGACGGAGAGCCCAGACTGGCACGGCCTGCCCAGACAGACAGGACGGCGGCGCCGGCTCACCAGGCAGACATTGTGGTGACAGGGCAGCGTGACCGGCGGACACACCAGCTCCTGGCAGCAAATGCACATGAACGTGTCCGTCACCTTCGCCAGGAACTTCTGCAACAGACGCCGGACGCCGCGTCAGATCGACCTCAGGGGCTCACGGCAGAGGCTCGGGCCAGGTGACAGGGCACGACTCGCCGGAGGCGAACGGCGGGCACTGCAGCTGTGGTGCGGCGGAGACGACGTCCCTCAAAGCTCGATTAGAGAATGTGATTATAGCACACGCACTTCCACGCGGGCGATTGCTTACGTACATATTCACTGGCATCTGTTGCATCTGGCACGGGCGGGTTAGCATGAAACTTGCCATGAGGTGCATAAGTCGGAGCAAAGGCAGAAACGTACAAGTAGGTCCACTCACCAGAGCCGTCCGCGCCTCTCACCAGAGCAGACTGTGCCTCTCAACAGAGCCGTCAGTGCCTCTAACCAGAGCCGACCGTATCACTCACCAGAATCGTCCGTGTCTCTCACCAGGCCGTCCGCGCCTTTCACCAGAGCCGTCCGCGCCTCTCACCAGAGCCGACCGTATCACTCACCAGCTTGCCGTCAGTGCCTCTAAACAGAGCCGACCGTATCACTCACCAGTCGTCCCTGTTGTCACCAGAGCCGTCCGCGCCTCCCACCAGAGCAGACCGTGCCTCTCACCAGAGCCGTCAGCGCCTCTAACCAGAGCCGACCGTATCACTCACCAGCTTGCCGTCGGCCAGCGAGCGCCGACACGCGTCCCAGAGCTGCGCGTTGTCGGCGTCCGCTTTCATCAGGGCGGCCACGGCCGGCGCAGGCGTGTAGGCCGCCGGGCGCGGCCGCTTGGTGGGCGGGGCACCCTCTTCATCGGCCCCCTCCGTCTCCGCCGGCGGCTTGTCGCCCGGCGCCTCCACGCGCTGCCGGACAAGCCGACAGCCACCGGTCAGCCGTGTCGCAGAGAGTGAGGGAGAGGCAGCGGGCAGTGACGAAGCGTCGACGAAGAGTGGACGAAACGTCGATACAAGCCTCGATGGGGCATCGCTGACGGTTGGCGCACCGTCTCAACAAACCGACCGACACAAATGCGGACCCGTTCAAACGAGAACACCCTCCGGGCAGCATCTCCGCGCGGTCTCAGCTCCAGCCCTCCAGTTCCTTGCCCAGCAGCGCCCGGCACCCGGTCCCAGGCGTACCCCCGCACGCGACCCTCGAGCCCGTCAAGAGCCACTCTCATCTCAGCACGCCGCCCTGGTCGGCGGTGCTGGAGCGCCGGCCGCCGCTCACCACCATGTCCTGGATGCCGAGCTCCAGGACGCGGCGCCGGCCGGCCTTGGTCCAGGGCGCCGGGTCCGGGTCGTCGCGGCGCATCAGGTAGCGCCACACCAGGAAGCCGCTGCGCCCCTTCTCCGGCCAGTAGCGCACGATCTTGTACACACCGTCGTACCTGCGGTCGCGCGGCGGCGCGGCTAGTCGCAGCTATGGCCGCTCAGCTGAGCGAGCTCAGAGCGTCAAGCTCTCGGGCGGCACACGAAGGGTAGGGCCACTGCAGGGCCACTGAAGTCCTGAGGCGACAGCACAGGGGGGACAGACATGGACGGCAGAGGAGACTTGGCGCCTTAGCCGCCAAAAGAAGGGCGACCGCGTCGCTGGCGAGACACTGGCGACGTGCTCTTGGCACTCTACCGCATTCGTGCCGTGCAAACAGGAGATGTTGGCCAGATCCACCCAGCGACCTCCCCCCGCCTCGTGTCAGTGAAGATGCCTCCGCCAAGATGTGCATGCCAGCGTCCATCCCCCTCCCCCATCTGCGACACTCGTCGACCACACCCGGGGCTTTCCGTCCCTTCCACCGTCCGCCCCCGTCCCTGGTACCTGAGCCCCTCGTCGGGCGCGTATTTGGAGTGTTTGCCCAGCTTGTAGGAGCGGATGACCCGCACGGGCTTGCCGCCGCGCCAGTCCTCGGCGGTGGCGCCCTCTTTATCGTTGATCCGGGCGTTGCAGTTGAGCGCCAGCGCCCTGTCATTATGGCGAAGTGAGTAAATCGAGGCCCGGTGGCGGCTGCACCGTATCCCGCGGCAAAACGACACGGCACGTACCGAAACCGGACGTGCTTGTTCCAAGGTGCCTCACGCGATTCAGATCGCGATTTAAATGAGGCACCTTATATAATAAATATTGCGTTCAATCCAGGATTAAAAATTATGATTATTCCAGGACTAAAAAATACGCTTTCTCAAGGACATGTCAGTCATTACAGCTTACAAAAACGCGAGCGAATCAACAATAAACAAACTAGCTCTACTAAAAAAGAATATGCCGCCAGACTACCTCCGGCGCATTCAGAGCTCATTAACGGCGTGAGATAGCCCGGTGCAGGCCCGTCCGGCCACATTCGGCGGGACTTGGACCGAGCGGCACACCTGTTCATCCTGGTCAGCTCCTGGTCACAGCTCTGCCCGGCGGTGCGCTTGTTACCGGACAGGTCGCGGCCGCCCGAGCCTGGGGGGCGGACACGGTGAGCGGTGAGCGGCGCCCGGGCGGCGGCACGTCCCGTCACCGGGACAGCACCGGACACGGTGAGCGGCGCCCGGGCGGCGGCACGTCCCCTCACCGGGACAGCACCGGACACGGTGAGCGGCGCCCGGGCGGCGGCACGTCCCCTCACCGGGACAGCACCGGACACGGTGAGCGGCGCCCGGGCGGCGGCACGTCCCGTCACCGGGACAGCACCGGACACGGTGAGCGGCGCCCGGGCGGCGGCACGCTCCCTCACCGGGACAGCACCGGACACGGTGAGCGGCGCCCGGGCGGCGGCACGTCCCCTCACCGGGACGTCATCGGACACGGTGAGCGGTGAGCGGCGCCCGGGCGGCGGCACGTCCCCTCACCGGGACGTCATCGGACACGGTGAGCGGCACTCAGGCGGCGGCACGTCCCCTCACCGGGACAGCACCGGACACGGTGAGCGGCGCCCGGGCGGCGGCACGTCCCCCTCACCGGGACAGCACCGGACACGGTGAGCGGCGCCCGGGCGGCGGCACGTCCCGTCACCGGGACAGCACCGGACACGGTGAGCGGCGCCCGGGCGGCGGCACGTCCCCTCACCGGGACAGCATCGGACACGGTGAGCGGTGCCCGGGCGGCGACACGTCCCCTCACCGGGACAGCACCGGACACGGTGAGCGGTGAGCGGCGCCCGGGCGGCGGCAACGTCCCCTCACCGGGACAGCACCGGACACGGTGAGCGGCGCCCGGGCGGCGGCAGGTCCCCTCACCGGGACAGCACCGGACACGGCGAGCGGCGCCGAGGCGGCGGCACGTCCCCTCACCGGGACAGCACCGGACACGGTAAGCGGCACCCGGGCGGCGGCACGTTCCCTCACCGGGACAGCACCGGACACGGTAAGCGGCACCCGGGCGGCGGCACGTTCCCTCACCGGGACAGCACCGGACACGGTAAGCGGCACCCGGGCGGCGGCACGCCTCCTCACCGGGACAGCATCGGACACGGGTAAGCGGCACCCGGGGCGGCGGCACGTTTCCCTCACCGGGACAGCACCGGACACGGCGAGCGGCGCCGAGGCGGCGGCACGTCCCCTCACCGGGACAGCACCGGACACGGTAAGCGGCACCCGGGCGGCGGCACGTTCCCTCACCGGGACAGCACCGGACACGGTGAGCGGCGAGTGGCGCAGAGGCGACGGCACGTCCCCTCACCGGGACAGCATCGGACGCACAGCGGACCGGTCACCGTCCCGATGTGCGCGCGGTAGCGTCAAAGAACGTGCCATGGCTCGGAGCTGCGCGACGAAACAACGCTCCCATGGACTGTCACAAGAGCGATGGGTACCATGTCCAACAAGATTTTGTGGTTTTAAGATCTGAGTAATTGCATAACAGTTTCATATAAGATAGCACACACGCGCCGTCACGTCTGGAATAGAAACGATAGACTGCAGAAGTACCAGCCTGCACAAACTCCAGGCCGTCCCTGAGGATACGTGTCCTGCCACAAGGCACGGGACACAACTACCGACATGGGACACGTGACACCGTTCCCACCAAACAGCACCCCACACTGACGCCGCCGCACGGCGACAGGCGGCAATCGCCCCACAGAAGGCCGGCCGGGCCTCCGACACAGGACCCCACCCCCGTCCCGCGGGGCACATACCCGTGTAGTAGAACTCGTCGCCGTTGTCCACGTCATCCTCGTAGCCGCCCGACAGCACGATGCTGAAGGCGCCCTCCTTCTCGCGGCCCGCAATGCCCGCCACGTGTGGCCGATGCACGCCCGCCTCGCTCGCCTGGATGCGGTACTGCCAGCGCATGCCCACCTCCACACCCGGCACCGGGCCGCGGTGGTTGGTCGGCACGATCGTGCACTGCCGCTGCCGGCCGGCCGTCGCCATGCCCTTGCCCCAGTCCCGCTTGGTCGCCTTGTTCAGAGTCGATGCCATGCGCGCCTTGCGCTTGCTGGCCTTGAGGCGCTGGCCGGCCTGCACGACCTCGCTCGTGTCAGTCTTGCACTCGGGGCAGTACCTGGGCAGGGCGGGGAGGGGGGGGGGGCGTGAGATTAGACGAGGCAATGGGCGGACGGGGCCATCAGCACGGAACGGATGGTAGCGGATGCCGCCCCGACTAAACCGCTGTGCGTAACTGACGGCTGGACTCGTAACGTTTCAGAGCAATCCAGTACATGTCAACGGGCTTCACCCACGCCCTCGCGCATGATCGTTTACTCAGCATGGACAGCCCTGCCTCCACACACCTGAACGTCCAGGCGGGCTGGAAAACACACAGCGAAGCGAAGCGAAGACCCCTCATCCATCCACCAGCATTCGACGCTGCACCGCGATACAGCATGGCCCCCTGACCGCGCCCCAGGGCACTGACCACTCGTCCTCCTCGGGGATGGCCTCCAGGGGCGGCGTCAGGCAGGAGATGTGGTAGGGCATGTCGCACTCGTCACACATGATCTGCCGGTCGGGGTCGGACTTCTTGTGGCAGACGTGGCAGCCACACACCCGGCAGTCGCGCTCCGGCCGGCCGCGGCAGATCCTGCAGCTGGGACCCCACCTCGCCTGCGGCCCGGAACGCGCGGTCAGAGGTCATACGCGCCGTCAGGGGTCACACGCGCGATCAAAGGTCACATGCGCGGTCAGGGGTCATACGCGCGGTCAGAGGTCACATGCGCAATCAGAGGTCACATGCGCAATCAGAGGTCACATGAGCGCGCGCATCGACGCAAAGGTTGGTTTCGTCTCTGAAGGCGACCCAAAACCAAACAGAAGGTGATGAGAAGTCAGTCAAACATACTCGTCCTGAAAGTGCATCAATATTCTCAACGTATGCACCTGGACGCACACAGACGCACACAGCCACCGAAAGGGTTTGACAAAGACAACGTTGTAGGCACACCAGAGGCCCAATGAGCGCCCGCCTAGAAACGGCACGTATCTTCGCCACGTCTGACCGAGCCCCGGGCCCCTGACGTCATTAAAGCACGCGCTCCGGGCGCCCCAGCGAATGTCGTACGTGCGGTGACACCGGCCGCCGGCTGGCTGTCGCCGGCCGCCAGCCGGTCGACTCTGGCGCGCTGCTGGCCGCGGGCCATGACCTCGTCGACGAACTTGACCTGGCAGCCCTCGACGGCCACCCGGCCGGCGCCCAGGTACACCGTCACTGTCAGCCTGCCGGGTCACGGACGGTCAGCAGGATAGGGACACCGCAGCGGAGGCCCACTGGGTCACCACACACGTCACTGTCAGCCTGCCGGGTCACGGACGGTCAGCGGGATAGGTACACCGCAGCGGAGGCCCACTGGGTCACCACACACGTCACTGTCAGCCGGCCGGGTCACGGACGGTCAGCGGGATAGGTACACCGCAGCGGAGGCCCACTGGTTCACCACACACGTCACTGTCAGCCGGCCGGGTCACGGACGGTCAGCAGGATAGGGACACCGCAGCGGAGGCCCACTGGTTCACCACACACGTCATTGTCAGCTTGCCGGGTCACGGACGACCAGCGGGATAGGGACACCGCAGCGGAGGCCCGCTGGTTCACCACACACGTCATTGTCAGCTTGCCGGGTCACGGACGACCAGCAGGATAGGGACACCGCAGCGGAGGCCCGCTGGTTCACCACACACGTCATTGTCAGCTTGCCGGGTCACGGACGGTCAGCAGGATAGAGTACACCGCAGCGGAGGCCCACTGGTTCACCACACACGTCAGTGTCAGCCGGCCGGGTCACGGACGGTCAGCAGGATAGGGACACCGCAGCGGAGGCCCACTGGTTCACCACACACGTCATTGTCAGCTTGCCGGGTCACGGACGGTCAGCGGGATAGATACACCGCAGCGGAGGCCCACTGGTTCACCACACACGTCACGGGAAGCCGGCCGGTGCAACGGCGCGCCGGACACTTGCATCACATCGGAGGCATTTCGGTCACTGATTCATCGCGATCGTTAACCGGAGAGGTAGTTTCCATTTTCAGAGACGGCGCCTCTCCGGTTCAGCGTTTCTTTAGCTTAGCAGCCCGAATATGCGGTGAATAAAGGCGATGCGGCGTGCCCAGGGCCGGCCACAACGGCAACAACACGAAACCAGTCAACTTGAACCATCTCCGCGCGTACCCTCCGCGCCCTCCCTTCACTGCTCACGCCTGTGTACGTATCATCGCCGCTTGCTACCCCTGCTACCCACTCCCATCAGACCCACAGCGCCATATGGTCACCACCACCCCCTACAATTCCACCCAGACTGTTGAACCTTGCCCCCCCCCCGGCCACCTACCGGCGCCGCCTGCCACGCGCCTCGCGCCCCGTGACGAGCGCGTCGAACCAGAAGCCACGCTCGTCCGGCTCGTCCACGTTGTAGTTGACCAGCACGTGCTGTCCGACGGTCAGCTCGGAGAAGGGCAGCGTGTCGGTGGCCCGCTCACGCAGCTCGCCGCCGGCCAGCCAGAGCGGCGGGTCGTCCTCGTACCTGGCGCGGCAGACGGAGCGTCAGGCGCCGCGCAGCCGGCCGGCAGGTTACGCGGCAAGGCTTCATCGAAATGCGGCCCGACGTCGGCAGTCATACTGCATGTTCAGCTGAACGACGGAAATGACAGTGAGGTTTCACGGAGGAGATAAACGGATTCGTGAGCAAGCGTGGCTCTTCGGTGAGTACTACCTCTCTCCTCACGCCGGGGGTGACGAGAGCTCACCCTTCGAATGATGATGATGATTTGGGCTTTGGGGCGCACCCACTACGTTGGTCATATGGCGCCCATAACCTACTTTTTATGTAACACATACGACTCACCCTTCGAACTTGACCGAGTACTGATGCTCTGGCGAGCCGCCGGAGACGCCGCCCTTCTCAGCAGATCCCCGCCGGACACCGCAGACGGTGGCTTCGAACCAGCCGCCGGAGGCTGGGTCGCGAGCGTCGCAGCAGTCTCCCACCTGAACACGACACACGGGGTGCACCAGAGCCACACACCATACCTGAGGCCACAGCAATCCTCCATCTGACCGGAGGGGTACAGGGACCAGACACCACACATAGAACAGCAGCCTTTGGGCCGCAGGGACGCAACGACATATGACTATACATGAACAGAAAGCACACAACCAAGTTACGTTATGTAAACTTCCTGTCAGTCCACACGCAAACATCACATAATAATAGCGAACATAAGTACAAACCGCACAGTCTTCCACGGAAACACCAACCACACGGTCTCCGAGGGAACACCAACCGCACGGTCTCCAAGGAAACACGAGACACACGGTCTCCGAGGAAACGCCAACCACACGGTTTTCGAGGAAACACCAATCGCACGATCTCTGAGGAAACACCAGACACAGTCTCCGGGAAAAACACCAACCACACGGTCTCCGAGGAAACACCAACCACACGGTTTCCGAGGAAGCACCAACCGCACGGTCTCCAAGGAAACACTAGACACACGGTCTCTTGCCTACACCCCTGACAGCTGCACCATCCAACGACTACAACAAACTACAACCAGACCTGCCAAGCCACACAAATGGGCTACTGGTCGCACACACGCCACGGAAGGCACCGTGTGATGATCAAACTTGACAGACCTACCGGTGTGATCACCGGCAGGTCCGTGAAGTCTGATCTATCCCGGAACAGTGTGCTGCTATGGCCGGGCCTGCCAAGCCCCGGTCCGTCTGTGTGGTGCCGTGCGGTGCTGCGACTGACCTTGTAAAAGTCATCCGCGGAGAGGAGATCCCAGCCGCAGTTGTCGTCCATGTCCACCGCCTGGCGACAAGCGGCAGGGTCAGAAAGACTTGGACAAGATACGAGCGAACTTAGGACGGGATCAGAAAGGCCTGAGGTGGATAAAAGCGGTCTGAGGTCTGCACATCGGCACTGCGGTCACGTGACGAAGGACGCGACACGGACCTGCGGAACCGAACGATGGGATAGGAAAATATAGATGGAAGATTTAAAAATACGTACCTTTTGAGGATAGTTACATACACTCAAAATGCCTTTCAGCTGACAAAATCTAATGTATATCATGTAGCAAGTGGCACCATTGCTAGGCTTTCTTCAACTGTCAGCCTGCCAAGAAGAAATTGTTTAAATGACGCATGAGGAGAATTTGCTAGAGTCACACACCCAAGTACATGTCTTTAGGGGGGGGGGGGGGAGTTGACACAGGAGAACGGTCAGGTTAATAGAAGACTTATGATGTACAACAGATATCAATGTGTTTGGATGTTTTTGGATGCTGATGAGCACATTAACAGTGTGCCTGCCTCCACACCTAGATGATTAATGGGGACCAAGTGCCTGCAAATGATCAGCATACCTTGTCAGAGTCAACAGTCTGGGCTGCGTCACCATTGACACCACATGCTTCCACTGGCACTGAGGATGCACCTTTGTCTGCACTGTCCTGCAACAGGTGTTAGGCCAGTCAGCAGCGGGAGTGGCATCCTTGACAAAATGGAGCATTATGAGACATTCTTCAACAAGAATAAGCTGAGCTAGAGATGGAAAAGGCATCTTTATTCACACCACAACCACTGATCCTAGGCGGTCCCAGCAGCTGATCCTTACCTGTGCCAGAGCAAGGACTTGGAAAGTTACAATACATGATGGCTGGCAATCTGGCAGTGGAGTACAGATCACAGGAGAGACATTAACAAGGCACTGCATTACAGAATTTGGAACAAACCTTATCTATGGTGTTGTTTGCTTGTCTCCTATGGTTGTCTGCTTTGACAGGGGCGAGAGGCTGCCGAACCATGAGCTGTATGACATCATTAACATTGACATCATACTCAAACATGGTGTGCCCATCTTCCATCTGAAAAAAACAGTAAGTAAGCTTGTCTCATATCTGGTGGTTGGTAAAACCACACACATGTAAGCATGCACCTACCAATGGGAATGTTTGTGGTATTCAATGAACACCACATGAAAACCTGATGGATGTTTTCTGATAAATCACAACCCAATATTAATACACCACACAAAAACCAATAGAATATTGCACCATACATAATACTGAAAACAATTCAGTACAATTGGAGTGGAGAAATGGGCTTATATACAGCACCTGAAGTGCAGACCAGCAAATATGTCAAAGAGCCCACCCACTTCATACCTGTTTGCCTCTAAAGAAGAGCCGCTGGCATTCTGGAGCAACATCAAGCTCATCTTCCACCAGTTTCCTGAACTGGTCTACTGTAGTGAGCTTGGATATTGTCACAACTCCTGAGGCATTGCCATCCATGGTCCTCACTTTCACAAACATGGCTGCATGCAGGGAGTGACCAGAAAAGGCAAAGTAGCTGAAGCTTTAAAACCTGCAATAATTGACCACATCAGACAAGTTACAATATAGTTGATGAAATATCTTGCCAAAAGGTGACAGAAAAGTGAAATAAACCACTTACTTTTAAAGGTGATGGCTTAACTAGTCAATCATATTTCAACTGTTAAATACCAGCACGTACTTCTCCACATCAAACATTAAATGATGAATAACACAATACTTTTGAAACACTGTCTAGCAATGCATCGTCATAACAATTTCCTAAAATGCAAGACATGGGTCCGAGTGAGAAAGCATGCACCTAGCCTACGCCGTGTCCAGAGAGCTGGAACAGCGACAGCACAAGTCAAGTCGCCGTTTGGTGTGAGGTCCAAAACACATTGCATGTAAGTCGGACCATTCCAGATTGCTTCTCTCCATTCCTAATATTGTAATTCCTATGAATTTACAAAGTCCACACATAGCACATACGGCAAGCGCCAACCAAACGTCACAGGCGCCTCCGAAGTGCACAGCAGTCGGCGCAGACGGCGTCGAAATTCGCGCGAATACTTTTGTCCGCGATGTGTCGTTTATGTCTTTACATATGAGACTTCAAGGCCACCCCTATTTCACGGTGTACTTGCAGCGGTTTTTAATCTTGGAAACTGTCAGGCTGATTTTCTTGAAAAATGTCTTTACTATAACGTATTGTTTATGTAGCCTTGCTCTAGCGTATATAGCTTTTTCCAGCTGTTGTAAACCTGGTGATCTCAGGTGGCCATGATAGCTTACATTCGAGTGAGTACTCAAGAGGACGGTGTTGCAGCCGACCCCGATGTCGGAAACGCATCATTGGAGAGTCTTGAAGAAAAAGTTTCACAAACTGCGGAACTTGCCTCGTTTGACGAAATAAATCAAGAATACCGCCATCAACGGCATGGTGCCGCACGCGACCTTCCGTGCAGCAGCAAGGCACAATTCAATCGCGTCGCCAACCCGGTACGGTCGGGTTGGTCAGTTCCCTAAAGCACCCTGGAGGACAGCAACATCCAAATCCGTCATAGTCTGTGGGGAGGACGCACCACGGCCCGGAAGGCATCCCTATACATCAACGATATTTGACACGCATGCGCGGCGCGGTGCAGGCGGGACCGTGGCGAGCTTTAGTACATCCACACCTGAGGCGTCGCTGTCCAAAAGTGAATGGGGACTCCATCAGAAGGAAACGCTGGATTTCTTAAGGTCATTCGTTCCATGCACGTGTCACCGGAATAATTTCTCGACGGTGCGGCGTAGCCACGCCAAATTCTGCGTAACAATAAACAATTAAAATGCAGATCTTTTGGTATAAAATGTAGGCTTACTTTGTAAAATGACTTATCTACGCCAGGTCAATTTCAGGTCATGGATTCAGCGAAGACAACTTCCAAGGAAACGCTTAATCTGATGCAATAACGGAATTTTAGACGAAGCCACATGTGTAGGTCAGACTAAGGTCAGAGCTAACCTGCTGTTTAACTCTAGAGTTTTCTGTATACAATAGATTTTGTTGCTCATCTTAAATCTGTCGATGAAAAAAATACCATTTTACATCTGCTATGAACTAATTAAAGGTCAGAGTAAATCATTGGCCTAAAATGACCAAGGTCAACATTTGTTTTAGAAACATAACGCCTGGCATAATACTCGACGCTGATCTAAATGTAAGTATCAACGTAGTCTTATATGTGATTTTGGTCGCCATGACCGTCTCAAGATCAAAGAAGGTCACTGACCTTTAATGAGCGCCAATGACCTTTGGCTTAGAACAGACACCTATGTTCACGGTGGTTGCGTGAAAATGTTTGTAGGCACTTTGGAAACCGATCGGAAGTTGGACCTCGTTTGAGCGTATTTAACCTGAACGTCATGACCTAGGAGCATCAAATTTTGACGCAAGTGAGTCACGTACAGACCAACATACCCTGTGAATTTGGTGTCTCTAGCTTTCTCAACTTCTGAGATCTCAGCGGGTCAAATTGCCCCCCCCCCCCCCTCCCTGCCCGAACGGAGCATATTCAACCGGCCGCCCGGGCGCGTGGTAACCTGCTCGGGCACTCTTCTCGCCCAGGGACATTAATTTCCGTACACTGGCCTTGAATAATTCCCCTTTGCTTAGAGGGCCCTGTGCTCTGGCCGGAGCCCTATACATCAACCTGCCGGGGCGATTCCGATCGCTCAGAGGTCTACCACGTTGGGCTGGGGCTTTTCTCGCTTGCTCCGAGGATCCTAAATTTATTGACGGAAGCCTTTTGGTTGGCCTACCGTAGCACCCATGGTCGCTCAGTTTCCGTCCGTTTTGGCCTTGGTGTCTTAGCTTTAGAGCTGCAGTGGGTCATGTGCCAATGAATTTTAACGTGCGGAGATCCAACACAATCTTGCGTGCCGCCGACGTCGTATGCCTTATTTCGGTTGGTTAATGAAGTTGTGACACCTATCATACCCGTGGATCACGTTTTTAGTACATTTGCAATGCTAGGATATTTTGTACTCATTCATAACAAATAAAGCAAAAGCAATACGTTGGTCATCGGCCATAAGCTTGTCACATTGACTAGCCGACTACCTGCGAATAAGCTAGGAATCAAGTTCGTGCTCGATTTAATGGTATTTAGCAGCCAATTTTAGTTTGTCCTGTCATGCCCTTCCGAAAATCTTGGCCTCAAAAAGACAAGGCTCATCACAATCTGAAGAAAACGAATAATCTCCATGCATGTACATGCATAGCATGGCTGGTTTCCTAAGGCTGCACACAGTAAGATGGGCTCCCGCATACAAAATATAAATCTAGGAATTTTGAGATGTAATGGCGGCGATGCGAAGATATGGGGAGGGGCAATTTATTCTGGGATCCCTTCAAAGGGTACTTGGGAGTCCCTCCACTCTACTCTAGGGCACTAAACCCACAATGTTGTGTGCCCCCCGCTCCTTGACAAACCCTACACATTAAGATATAAAAACACTATAAATGCTATATAGCACTGTACCCTTTATAAAAACCTACGCTGGATGATAGCCTCATCAGGTTCCGTGGCCGCCACGCCTCCAAGATGTGTATGCCGAGTAAGCCTGGCAGGTACGACCTGCTTCTGCGTACGGTCACAGACGCCAACGTTCGCTACATGTGGAAAATGTGGCCGTGCGGAAGCCAACCGGCACAGCTTGAGCTGGCACGACCTGATAATGTGTTCGAGAATGTACCGGCCATGGTCAAGTTTATGACGCAAGAGATGTCTGGCACCCGGAAAAACTTGACTTTAGATCGGTACTCCACCTCCGCACCCCGCTCCGAGGACCTCTTTTCAAACAGGCTGGCAGGCATCGGGACCATCAACCGCGTCCGCCGCCTCCTGCCCAAGGAGCTGACTGTCGTCGGAGGCCGGGCACTCGATTCAATGCTGCTGTTCGCTTTCAGTAACGGTGTGGCTATGGTGTTGCACTGCCTCCGGCCAGGCAAGCTGATGCTGCTGCTGTCTTCTCAGCACCAGGCGCCCATGGTGGACAAGAACACAAAGGAGCTTGAGATCGCGCCGCGTACAACGTAACGAAAGCCGGCGTGGACGAGAGGGACGCAATGATCGAACACTACATGGGAAAGCCGCCTCTGTAATGCTGGCCGATTGCCGTCTTCTTCCTCATGCTGGGCGTCGCCGAGATCAACGCCTCGACAGTGCTCCTGCTGCACAGGGGATGGTGAACGACCGGCGTGGGTGGCGGCGACCGGTGCACCATCTTGTCCTCCACGGGAGAGCAGCTGGCTGTACCCCGCATTCACGAGGGTGCAGCCCAACCCGTGGGGCTCGGGGGCAAAGCGCTGGCCGTCATGCGCCTTGTCAAGACAACAAGAAGCCAGGCTAGTGCAGGTGGAGAGTTGCGAAGCGGCGGTGGCGGCAGTGGCCCCGGAGGTGACGAGGCGGCGTCGAGAGCGGTGCCGGTAGCGATGGCCGTAGTGCTAGTGACGCCAGCACTGGCAGTCGCAGATCAAAGAGTCGCTGTGCGGCTGCGTAACGGAGCTGATTGGCCAGCCCGACCACAAGCGCCGCAAAAGCCGGCTGCCAAAGAAGAGGGCATGCTGCCAGTGGGCCAAATATGTCTGTGGGCGGCATGGTGTCGCTGTCTGCATGTGTGTGGCTTCTGCAAGCGACTCCGACCGGCTGTAATTGCAGTGGCACTTGATGTGTCATTAGTGATGTGTCACAGATAGTTGACTTTAGTTTCGTATGTTTTGCGTGTTCCGAGCGTAGCGGACAATCATATGCATCTATCTACGCATACAGCAGTCAAAAATATGTTGTCATCGCTTTTGCTAGAGTTTGTATATGGTCGCTTGTAGCAGAGCTGCCGAACGTCGATTCTAGGCATTGAAATCGGGATAGGACGTTTTGTGACATCCATTTTTGATGAAGATGACTTGATATTACCTGGATTATCCAGCTTTCTCACTTAACCAGGTCAAACCTGCAATGAGAATCGTTTCCTATCGCACATCTGAATGATGAATGAATATGTAACTGGATTTCCTATCTTGAAAAGTCTAGCTTTCCATTATATATCACGCTATGCACGTGCATCCAACCGCTTATTCACCACCGAGGTCATCTGTTTGACCTTGACCTTAGCCGGTCTATGAACAACTAACAGCTCTTGCTGGGTTGCTTGATACCATAATTGCGACTTAAGTATTCCCACATCGCGATTAGAGGGTTTGGACTTGACGGAAATGAATAGATCAAAATACAGATATAGACCAATGTTTCAGCTCTCATTTACACCACACGTGACCTTGGCTCCAGACATGAAACAATTCGTGTGAGATTGGATACATCCCTGTGTGACATGTTTGATCAGGGCGTAATAATTTTACGCACAAGATAAGCTTCTAAACGAAATACATCGTGGAAGCAGTCCAATAATACAAAGTAGCATTTTTAGAACTTGGCCTTGATCTGCCACCATCGCACACACTTAAACGTAAATCTTTGCTGCGGTTTGAAACCGCAGCCTATCGCGCTATCGACTGCGATGTGATTTTCTTTTTAATTCGGCCCCAACAGTTCTTGAGATAAGCAGGGAGGGGGGGGGGGGGGGGGGAGGGGAATCTGTCTCCCAGTCAATGGTGTGCCGCTGAGGAGTCTGGTCAATACCTGGTTTACATTCGCGGATACCATAAATGTATTAACATTTAACATCGGCCGCTGTATGTTGTATACGCGCAGCGATAAACAAACAAACAAACAAGCAACAACTTACTTAGTGAGGAACAACAAAAGGGACAAGGAACAACTGTCATTACAACCCATCACATCAATCTCACTCTGCTTACGAGCCTGCGTGCATTTAAGTGTATTCACCTGCGAGTATTCACACTCTGCCTGCGAGTATTTAAGTGTCAGCCGATGGTCGGTCACTGTCTGTGTGCAGTGAGGAACAACTTACAACAAACTTACAAACAACAACTTACTTAGTGAGGAACAACAAAAGGAACAAGGAACAACAA